AATAAATATTCGTTAATGGCATTCATGAATCCACAGGATTTAAAAATCATATTGAAAACACCTGTTCCAAATCCCAATCCAGCACCAAAATGATGATCTTAACTATCTTAGTCAACTCAATCCCAGAAACGGGAATTAGATAAAATTTCATTTACATACCACCATATAAGCTGATTCAAATTCTGACTATTGAAACCTAAAATTGGCCTTTGCATGCTCCAATATTTTGCGTGTAAGTAAAAGAACAAGTACACAGATTTTTAGCAATTAGTGAAAGAGCAAACCTCATGTAGTGCAGGAGCATCGTTAGTACCATCTCCAGTAACGGCAACAACGTGACCCTTCTTCCTCAATGCTTGTACAAGCAAGAGTTTGTCATTTGGAGATGACCTACCCATCACCTATGTGTGAAATGATAATACGAAATGTCATCCATGCCACTCGAATTAATAGAACATAGACAACAACAAAAACATTTGGGCTACCAAGTTAACTGAAATACCGAAATTTTATCAGCCAATTCCAGCCTCTGCGTCTCAGACATGGCACGGAATGCCTTGCCTTCAATAAGATTTGGCTCCGTAGCATCTCCATTTGATCCTAATATCCCACACTCTACAGCTATTGCTTTTGCCGTTTGAAGATTGTCTCCAGTAACCATACGTACCTATAAAATTGTTAAAACAAATATCAACATAATTTATTTTTATTTTTATGAAAGGAAAACAAATATCAACATAATTGGCGATGTTGACAAGCTAAGTGGCAACATTAGCATAAAAACACGGTACAAAGACCCATGAATCCCATTCAAACAGACAGAGTTCTCCATCAAAGGTCCAGCTGCACTAAACTTCCCTAGTTACTTCTTGTTACGATCTTAGCCCCTAAGGTATCATCTTGTAGTTCTAGTATTGGTTTCTGTCTTGCCTAGTAAGACTGGCCTCAATTCCATGCATTCAATAGCTTGTCCCAACCAAAACTCGTCCCTTTTATTAATCAATGCCCTCCCGTCCCATAATGATAGGGATTTCAGCAACCCTTTCATCAAGAGCTGGAGGGTCCGTACCCATTAAACAAGAATAAGGTTTTTCATAATATCATTTTTTTTT